AAGTCTAGTTGGGCTGAGTACAACTGATTGAGGCTGTTATCTTGTGACAAGGCAGGAAATGTACTTTAAGTGAACTATACCAGGCAATCATACAGAAAATGATGCAAGCTTTCAAGTCAAAACTGCTTGGATCTGAATTCAGTTCTAGCACTTATCTGATCTGAGACTTTGGGCAAATGATTTCAAATCCTTATGTAAAGGCTACCTCAGAGGGCTGTGTAAAGATCACAGTCTGTGTAAAGCCCTCAGCAGGCTGCTATGGCACTTCACAAGCACAGGAGCCAAGCACACCACTGCCATCAAGACTGAGATAGCTTAAATGCCTTAACAGACACAAAACAGTTAGCTCATCAATTGTGTTTTGAAACTCAAGTTTACTAATCTGTTAATCAAAGGGTTTGATTAAACCAGAGCAGCAGACAAATGAGACTAAGAGAAGCCCTTTGATGTGGGAGTGTCATATATCAATCTGCTGATTTCACTGGTTAAGTAATAAAGAAACTGCTTGGCCCTCATAGGTTAAAACATAGGTGGGTGGAGTAAACAGAACAGAATGCTGGGAGGAAGAGGAAGTGAGCTCATACTCGACAGCTCTGCTCTCTGGAGCAGAGGACATGCTCCCCTCTCCTGGGCACACGCGATGAAGCTCCGACCCAGGATGGACGTAGGCTAGAATCTTCCTGGTAAGCGCACCTTGGGGTGCTACACACATTATTAGAAATGGGCTAGTCCAGGTGCGAGAGTTAGCCAAGAAGAGGCTAGATATAATGGGCCAAGCAGTGTTTAAAAGAATACAGTTTGTGTGTTGTTATTTCGGGGCATAAGCTAGCCAAGCGACCAGGAGCTGGGGCGGCAGGAACACAGCCCGCAGCTCCTACAACAGCCCTTCCCATTCGGGTTCTCTAAAACACTCCAGTGCAGTAAGTACCTGTGTGCTGCGACTTGACAATATAACTATCGGGGGCCTTGGAAATAGCAACAAAACCATCTTTTGGTGGAAACTTAAATTCTTCTTCACCAAAGTTAAATTTCAATTCAGCATTCTGGCAGTGAATAAAAGGGAAAAAAAAAAGGGTTTAACATAATGGCAAACTGCCCAGTAAAATATAATAAAAATCAAACAGTTTAGATCACAGCAAAACTTCTAAATACCTTCAAAACACAGGCGGGGAAGAGCGCTTGATTTTTTATATGTGCTGGTATTTCAAATGCTAGACCAAGGTCTTTTCCTTTAAAACAAGCAAACAAAACCAGAGAAATTAAAATGAAAAAGAATTTCCACAAAAACACTAAAATCTACCAACCTGCCTCTTTCTCATTCTCTCTGGAACCCATGGATAAAGGTGGGCTGCCCTGAGCCAACCTGCTCAGCGTCTGACTTCACTAACTGTCCCTCTTCCTGTCTACATGTCTAATTACTCCCTATCTCCAAGACCTCTGCCTCTAGAGACTTCATAGCTCACATACTCCACATTAGGCACAAAATCCTCCCTTGATCCACAGTGCCTTCCATTTCACTTGTATTTTTCTTCTCACTTATGAAGTAAAAATCCCTGATTTCCTTTTTTAGGACATCCTTCCTTCTGCTCATCCCACTGTCTACATGTCTGACTCATGATCACCTACCACCTTTCCCTACCAAATTAGCTACCAAGTACCAAATCCTGAGGCAAACTCACTCCTGTCTCTCTTGACAATACCTTCAGCAGTACTGGGCACAAACCAACTTCTCCCTTGAGTAGCCGGAGCCCATGCACCCCTTCTCTCCTCTTCTCTGCTAGATTCTCCTCAGTTAGCCAGCTTTTAGCCACAGGAAAGCAGGCCTTGGATCTTTACTATCATTCTGTCCAGTTCCCACCTCCTCATCTGTTTTCGACACGGCTGGCCCATTCTGCTGAGAACCCCGGGGTTTCTCACTTACTCTATATCACTGAGCTATCACTTCAGCCCCTTACACCTGTACCTCCTCACTGTTGCTAAGGCAGTATGGACACTTACACCTAGAACCTTCCTTTGCCCTTCCCTCTGCCTGAAATGCTCTTCAGTTCTCTGCACAAACCCTCCCCGCTCCCTGACTTCCTTTTAAATGTCTTCTCATCAGCAGAGCCTTCTCTGAGCGCCCTCTGGAAAAGCAAATATCCCCACACAGCAACTGACTCCCTTGCCTTGTTCTTCCTCTCCTTCCCACTCACTACCACCTAATGTTTTATTTGTAAATAATGGCTGTCTGCCTCTCCTCATCAGAGTGAAAGCACCACAGAGCTACCCTTCATTTGTTCCACCTTCTGCTGCGGTTTCATCACTTTCCTGTGCACATGGCACACAGCAAACACTCAACAGAACAAATACCCACTGAAATGAAAGGTAGGTGAATAGGGTAGAGGATTTAAGAACAGAGTAAGAGAAGTCAGAAACAAGAATCATAAATATTCTTACCATTCTTAGAGAACTTCACATGCCCTTTATCAATATCTAAGTAGCACCCAATGGTATCATGCATAGTGAATTCCTGAAAACCCAGAAAGTGAAACGTCATGAACAGAAAGCTCTGAAATGAGGTTAACAAAGCACAGGCAGCAGCAGCAAAAGCAATGGTGGTGTCTCTAAAGACTTTCTCTAAATGAAATGAGGGTATCTAAACGACTATCACAGGTGGGGATGGAGACTCACTCCTGTAATGCCAGTATTGGAAAGGCTGAGGCAGAAGGATCACCAGGCTCCTAGGTTACAGAGTAAGATTTTGTCTTAAAAAACAAAAAAAAAAAAAAAAAAACACTAAAAACTTGTCAGAGCATACATCATATCTAATAGTAGATATATCTGACATACTTCTCAGAATTAACATGATATTAAAGATTACTGCCATGGACTTAGACTCAGAAAACTATATTTAAAGTCTTCATAATCAAAACTAAAAATTGAGATGTAAGCGGACATTTCCTGTACTGACTGCCCGCTCCCCTATAGATATATTGATTTTTTCAAGACAGGGTTTCTTTGTGTAACAGCCGTGGCTGTTCTGAAACTCGCTCTGTAGATCAGGCTGGCCTTGAAATCACAGAGATCCATCTGTCTCTGCTTCCTGAGTGCTCAGGTTAAAGGCATGCACTACCACCACCTGGCTCCCAATAAAAATTTAAGCCCTATCTACTTATTTAGTCTTAAATATATAAATTTCTTTCTCAAGTCCAAACCTGAACTATGTCAATCATGCCTTAAGTGATCAAGAATGTAAGACTTACAAATGCTGTTTCAATAAACAGCATCAAAGCTTACCTCTCCGTAATTATCAAACTGTTTATTATGAGATTTCTTTCCTGTTCCACCGAAGCCAAATCCAAACTTGTCAGTACCTAGATTTTAAAAGGAGTTTACTAGAGGTCTGAGCTCACCAGAAGAATTAAAAGCCCTGTGAAAGAAGTGATTTTGTCCTTGCAGTCTGAGAGTTCAGACAAGTGTCCCTGGGTTTCGGAGCCCTGCATCATCTGGGGCATTTTCAGCCAATGCAGAATATGCAACAGACACAAGTGACACCGCCTCACTACTGGCTATGGTCACTAAACGAACTCACAATAATCTGAAGTGTCTCTGCAGTATGCTCATTCTAGCCTGATCTTCATTCATTTTTTGTCTCTCTTATTCCGTATTGTCAGAACAAGGAATGGGGTGCAAACAGGAAGCAAGCAGTAACTTATTTCAAGTCTTTTCTGGAACTGAGTGAAGTACAGATAAATATTTTTTGTGTTCACAAAATTAAAAGTTCTAATGCAATGAAGCCCATTAGTCTGTCTCCCAAAAAAAATAAGATGTTAAAAATGTATAAATATAAGATGCTCAGTTATTACAGAAACACTTACCTAGGTCTAAGGAGGCCTGCATGGTAGACCACCCAACTCTGCACAGGCCTTGGTCATGACAGGATACCTCATAGTAGTGTTTCCCTGTAATGGTAAAATCCCATGAGATTAACACAAACTGTATACATATGACCCATTTACCAATCGCTTCTGAGTTACATCTGTATGTGACAGAAGAACTGTGGGTCTTTCTGTACCATGAAGATTGTCAGATCTCTGCTTTAAAGTGCCCATGGAGAATTCACACACTGACAGTTCAACCTTAAGAAGTCATGAAGGCTGGTGTAATACCTTTCAGCAGTCCTCTGGTCGCTCTGCACCCATGCCACTCCTTCACTTCTCTGCTCTGACAACACAGGCCATCTGACCCAATAGCTAGATGTGGGGAAACACAGAGATGTACATAAGTACAGACCACACAAACCGTTCTTCATGACATAAAATAACTACTCAGTCTCATCAATAAGAGCTTTACTTCTAAGAGTATTCCAGACTTTACATTCCTAGATGACAGCAGTGCTTCCCCTTTATCCCTGCATCTCCTGGGCTTCTATACTGTCACTGTTAGGACAAGAATTCACCTGAGTCCAGGAAGATGAGCATAACTCCTAGAGTATTCTGCCTGAATAACAGCCTCAAGGCCAACATGCGTGTTCGTCCTTCTTCAGTGGTGGGAGAACAAGACTGCTAAGGAATAACACGGGACTATTGGTCACAATTGTATGCTCTGACTATTTAGTAAGAAGCATACAAATGACCAGAGTGTGTTACTGGGTAGTACTGAGGACTCTAAGAAATGAGGTTTTACATTACACACTAGAATAGACAGATGCTATTAAATATTTAGTTTTTGTCTATACTGGAAAAAAAAAACCTATCTTTTGCCACATTCATGTTTTTCCAAGTCATGTTCAGTACCTGGTAAAGAACAATCTTGTAAAATACCACTTTTTTCATTTTTCAATTACCTAATTTTTCAAAAATTTTTAAGTTCTTATTCATGTGATGATATTAGAAATCTATGTAAAAGGGTCTCTAGTGAGCTGCCTGTAATTCCAGCACTTGGGAGATAGAGAGAAAAAAAAAAAATCAAGAGTTCAAGAAGGAAATCAAGAGGAGAAAGGTAGATGGATGTTGTAATAGGAGCGGCGGGGCTGCGTCCCCAGCACCCTGGCCACCTGGCTAGCTTATGCCCTGAAATAACAACACACAAACTGTATTCTTTTAAACACTGCCTGGCCCATTAGTTTCAGCCTCTTAACCCATTTCTAATAATCTATGTAGCGCTGCGAGGTGCGCTTACCAGGAAAGATTCAGCATGTCTGACCTGGTGGCTGGCTGCATCTCCGTCTGCCTCAGAGAGCAGAGCTATAGCGTCTGCCCTGGAGAGGGAAGCATAGCGTCTCTGAGCTCACTTCCTCTTCCTCCCAGCATTCTGTTCTGTTTACTCCACCCACCTATGTTCTAACCTATCAGGGCAAGCAGTTTCTTTATTTAATTAACCAATGACCTTCCTCCATCAGATGGATGCTTGTAATTAAAGTACAACGTCTATACAAATGGAATCCCAATAAATCCTAATAGTTTACACAATTAATGTGTCAATTAAAATAATAAAATAAACACAAACATTCCTTTATAATTTCTAAGTCTTCTACTTGGATTAGAAAAGCTTCTCTTCTACTAAATGATACATGCTAAATTGTACATGCACATATACGTCTACACACATTTTTGTGTGTATGCACAAACACATATATATAATTTAAAGCTCAAGTACATGTGAAATCTATTTCTAGTTAAGATACATAGAAGCCAGTTTTTGGTTGTTTCAGATGAAACATCAATGTCGCCAGTGTCTTTTACCATATAAATCTCCCTTTCCCCACGGAAACACAATACTACAATACTACATTTTTTGTGTACATTACACTGTCATTTACACTAGGATTTATTTCCATCATATTCTACTGTCTATTTCTAGTTCAGCACTATACTATTTACATTTAGTGACTATATTCTAATCTCTGGAAATTAAATCATGCACAATACTTTTTCATAATTTTTTGGTATTTTCATTTTTTTTAAGTTTCTGAATTATCAATGAGTAGGCAGAATTTATCCACTTACCAAAAGCAGATCCTCTGTCATATGGGTTCATCTGCCATTTGTTGAGCACTAAGCAAATTAATATAAGAAAAGTAAGTCAAACCATATGCTACAGAGCTCTACGAAAACAGAAGATAGTTTGTATTTTATACACCAATGCCTTTGATTCAACATGGTTTTGTACATCATTTGTAATGTTCACATATATATGCAGCTGCTTTTATTAAAGACAAACTAGCCCTGAAAATCAAAAAGTATCGATGAAAACCACTGGCCCACTCGGGACTGCAAGACATGGGTGTCTCCCCTTGTTTCAGTGCACTCTGGGTACAGGACACTGATCTCTGTCACTGATAAAGTGAAACTTAACTATCTAAGCAACTCAACCTTGAACATAGAGGAAATAAACGATCTTATCAGCCAGTCCTTTATTTTAATTCAATATGAAATTCTCAAGTCATACTTTTATTTCTCTTCCTGTTTTTATACAATTGGTATGTTTCCTTTTCTAAAATCTTGTCGGCCCATGAATAATAAAAAATTACAGTAATTAAGGAGACTTTACATGCATTTTAGCCCATTTTCCTGTTCATGGTAGAAATCCTTTCTGGATCAGGTCATCCTAACCACTAGCAAGTCCTAAAGGTAAGAGATCCTACACATTATCTGTAAACCTTTCTGGGCCTTGTTCCCTAGAGCAACCATTATCTTTCCACATTTCTCTAGTCATCGGCTGTCATCATCTCCCTTATCCTTCATGCTTATAAATGTAGGTTTGTGTTTCCTCATCAGAGATGATTTTTAGACCCACCCTACTTGTGTCTGGCCACCTCAGAAACATTCCTGTCTAGCATCATCTCTCATAAATGATGGCATATGGCTGTTAAAAGTTCTGAAACTATTTTAATATAGGCCAACATTACAATGAATGTGTAATCACATTCATTTTTATCTCTCACAATTCATTCATTCATTCATCCTTTATATATCAAAAATAAAAGTTGCTATGCCAAGTTCATTCAAACTTGCTATTTTTCATAATTCTGTTTTGTATCATAAAACAAGTTACTTCAAAATATATAATACATTTGTTAAAACATAACAGAAGCAGAGATGAAGAATAAAATTTAGGAACCCTGGAAGGAAAAAGATCGTTACTTAAAGATAAGGAAATAAAGGTGAGATTATTCATAATAGGATCAACACCCAGTAAGAGGATCAGCCTCCATGTAAGGAAAACAAATACCACTTTGCACAATATTCATCCTTACTCGTAGACATACACAGTTATATATGATTAAGAAAAACACAAAAACAACTAAAGGTAAATCCCAAATGCCAGTGTGTTCTCAAAAGACACACCATTTGTATTTTAGAATGGACGATTTGCTAATTAGGTCATAAATGTCACTTTTTATCCTTGTTTCTAGGACACAACACTGCAATGCTGTGTTGCATACCCCAAACCAAACCAGCAAGCAAGAGAATGACTAATTTTCAAAAAAGAAAGTATCAATGTAATAGTTACCCGAAGCACCAGTTTTAATAGTAGTTTTCCCTTTCTTTCCTTCCTGTTGGTCTTTCAGGGTCTCATACACTATCTGGATAACTGGAATACTAAAGGCCTGTCAGAGAAACAGTTTCTGTTAGCAGTCAGCTACTGAGGAGAGTAGTCAATATAATGGCCAAGGCATGCATACATGCATACATGCACATTAGAAATTATCCAGAGAACTGCTATTTCATTTACCCAAACCTAAATGCCAATTAGATAATCAAGAGTTGACAGACAGAAGTCAGCTGATGCCCTGGAACATACACTGAGGAACTTCAGAATGAACATAAAGCAAAGCAGGAAGATGTCTACTCAGAGCGCTTCTCTAGGAAAACAGACATACTTTCTGGATGCAATCTTTTTAAGAGCACTGAAATTCTGAAATGCCTGTAAATATACAGAATTTGTGTCTCTTTCTGTAAGATCGCTTTAAATGACATCCTTAAATCCATACTTTACAAAGCTTTATAACTTGTCAACAAGAGAAACAGTACTCCAAATGGCTAGTTTTACATCAGCTGAAATGAGCTACAGTCATTGAGGGGAGGGAATCTCGGCTCAGACACTGCCTCCATAGATCAGAGTAGGCAGACCCGTGGGGCATTTTCTTAATTATGAGATGGGAGGGTCCAGACCATTATGGGTGGTGCCACCCTTGGGCTGGTGGTCCTAGGTGCTAAAAAAAAAAAAAAAAAAGCAGCCTGAGCAAGCCAAGGGGAGCAAGTCAGTAAGCAATACTCTGTGACCTCTGCTTCAGCTCCTGCCTCCAGGATTCTGCCAGGTTTGAGTTCCTGTACTGGCTTCCATCAATGGACTGGGATTTAGGATATGTAAGCCAAATAAACCCTTTCCTCCCCAAGTTGTTTTTGGTCATGGTATTTCATCACAGTGATAGTAACTATAATTAAGTCGATGACAAACTATCATTTTTTATATATTGGAAGGTGATGTTTGAATTAAAAATTTCAAAATATAAGCTGTTCAAATACACAAATATATACTGTTCAAACATACTTTTAAATTCAGGTTTTAATTAAATGTAAATAAATGTATTACTTACACCAGTCTTTCCACTTCCTGTTTCTGCTGCCTGAATAAGTGGGGGAAATTGTAGTTTAAATTGTGAATTAAAAGAGATTAAACTTAGCATAATACCATGTAGAAACCTTGTAATACTTGACTAGCCAACTTCATTTCTACTGCGTCAAGATTACTCTGTCTCAGTCAATTTTGATTCCTGTCAATCAGGTCACCTCTCCCAATTCATTAAGAATCTGCCCTTTTCTTTCCTTTCCTATTACTACCACCCAACGGAGGCCCATGTCATTTTAACCAAATTATTAGAGTATACTAAGAGTATCTAACCACACAGATCTATACTACAATCTGCTATACAACTGATATTCACAAAACCATAATTCTAACCTACACCTACCTGGCAGCTTTCCATACTCCCCACTGCCAGCAAATGCGCAAATTATTTAACTTGAAAAAGAATCCAATCTGATTAAATGTATATTTCCTATTGTTATCGCAAGTGATACCACCATTCCAGCTATATATTTTATGCTCCCACCCACCATTACCTTCAATAAAAACTGAAAAGTCACTCCAAGCCTATCCCTACCACTTTTATAGAATACGCTGACCACAGTATACGTGTTAAAAATGCCGGTTAGTGAATAAAAATAATTTGGTAAAACAATTCCAGACTCAAGCTTCTGAGATATCTTAAACAGGGTCACACAGCTCCAGAACATGTGTGCCCCGTACCACCAACCACCTTATTAGATGTAAACCTACCATAAGTACATCTCCTCCTCCTAGGATCAATGGGATAGATTCAGCCTGGATATCAGTTGGTAGACTAAAAGAATCACATTTGAAGAACTGTAGTTAGTTAAGAATAGAGAATTATCCAGGCTAATTAAGTCATGCTAAATCAACCTAAAAGAAACTGTGTACATGGCAATCCAACCATTTTTTTCCAGCTAGAATTAAAAGTTCAAAGGAGACATTTATGACGTAAAGAATCACCATGAACTAAATTTCACTTACTCAGCTAGATAAAAATACATTTGACAAAAATTACTGTTCACATTAGGAGACTTCTGACACAAACACATTTAAGTTTTATATACTTACAGCCAATCCATTTCTTCCACAGCTTGTGCAATCTCAGGCATAACACCCATCTCTGAAAACAAAAAGTCATTTTAATAATCCTATTAATAAGCCATCTTTTCTTAAAGATGATTTATAGAACTGGGGAAAGGCTTTGAAGTTTGGCTCTTATATTGGTCCTTTGTATGGTATTGCTGAGTATTGAGTTTTGGAGACAGATTTGAGTTCAATCCAAGGTCTCATTTACTAGAACAGGACCTTGAGAAAGAAGTCTGTTTTCTCTGCAGAAAATGGGACTTGTCGTACCTGCTTTTGTCGGGATATAGGAAAATGTTCCTGTAATACTGCTGACATGGTGCCATTAGCACGTGGTAGCTCGTAGTGAAGGAGTGAAAAATCTGGCAGGCTCCTAGCCCTGCACCTCTAGTTTCACCAGGTGAGCTAAGAAAAACAAACAGCCCACCTTCCATGGCAGCCATTCTGTTCATCAGGTACTGTGTGCCTAAGACTAGACGAGGCTTTTTAATGTCCTTACTATAGATTTGACAAGTTTAAGATAACGATCACACTATTTACTGAGTTAACTATTATATTATGAAGCATATTCATGGACGAAAACTTCACACTGTACCTTTTAACTACATACAAATACTATATTTCAATTAAAAAAAAAACTTTAAAAGTTTAAGTAAATCAAAAACTCCCAAATACAGGAGTAACTTTTGGTCACGTGCTTCAGAATCTCACTCTACTCAAGCTTGACCCTGGGGTCCTTCTTAAGTGTATACAGCCTCTCAGCACCCAATACACTGCACAGCACAGGAGTGTGAGGTGTTTCCACAGTCAAGACACTGCTTCAAGGAGGAATTCCTTTTTCTAAGTTTGAGAAGTGTTTGTATTTTTAACATAAAAAACAAATTCTGATTAACTGATGGTGGGGAGGACAGGAAGCCTGAACAAGGGCATTGTCAGGTGAAGACCTGCTTTGTCAATTGTCTGTTTAATACTTCTGCATTGAGGCCAGCCATAAATGGATAAAGTGGGCAGTTCCTGAGTGTTCTGTCATTTTATCCTTCCTCAAGTGAAATCAATTATAGTAGGTAGATTACTTAACCTTCCCTTCCAAAGATAAACTAATGAAGCCCAAAAGATGACCAACTAGACTGGTCTAATAAACTATGCCTAAAGTCTATTCCTATTCTGACCCCTAGAATGCAAACTACTGGGAAAAATGGGGGAGCAATGGGCCAGGCTCAGGGGCTTAAGGCACTTGCCACCAAGTCTGAAGACTCAAGTTCAAGTCCCTGCTCCCACACGGTAGAGGATCAACTCCAGAAAGTTGACCTGACCTCCACTGGGGAACGTCCATGTTAAACCCCTACCACAAAAATATAAATTAAAAAGAAAGTGATAGCCTTAAATATGTTACACATGGAAAACTGCAAGCTCGAGCTGCTTACAGGACTGATACAAGCAGCAACCATGGATTGCTTTTAGCAAATTTTAGACATTTTCCCCCAGATCCTAGTCATGTGCTGGGCATATTTTCTACAGAAACCTTATCTTTAAAAAAGTGCAACAGTTAATCTTTTAAGGGAAACAGGTACGTGTTCAAATTCTTTCATTTTACTTTTGTCTGAAATTTGAGCATTTCTCCCAAAGATGTGTGCCTATAAAACAACAACCCACAACTTCCTGGCAGATTTTAGGTCTAAAATTGTGTTAAAGTGAGAGGATTCCTCTTGGAAGACGTGACTTTAACAGAAATGAAATGTTTCCCCTGTGGCCTGAGATTTGGGATTCCTGATATTCTTACAGAAGAAAATGGAAAAAGCAAATGATAGTAAAATGCCATTTAAATAGGTTAACAACATGAAAAGATAGCATGCCAAACTCATTGCTATACATAAGCATACACACACACATGTACATACACACACATATATAGATCATATTTAGTATATTCAAGGCTGGTTGGAACTTTGCAAAACTGTGGGTGCATAAAGAAAGGTTGATTGAGAAAGTGAGAAACATCAACTGGAGAGTTCAATACCCCATCCCAAATCCTATTTGCTATCACAAAGCAAGTAACTAATTCTAAAAAGTTTTAGTTAGTATGTTCATGAGGGGGAAAAAAATTGCTTTAGCTTTGACAGTGAACGTTAACCCTCAGTGTGCTGTTTAGCAAATGACGATTAGACTTATTCTTGATAGTTTTACTCGTGGAAAGGCTTGTATGTAGAGAGGGGACCACCCAACAGGACATTCATCCTTTTCTCTCAAAATATCCCTTCCCCACGCTACTTGCTTCTTGGCCTGGCCAGGACCAGATGTGTCGCGGGGCAGAAAAATGTTCTCGGTCACTGCCACGTCAAAGAGGCAGGAGGCCGGGCTCCGCGAGCGCAGACACCACGGTCGGGATTTGGCAGGTGGCGGCAAGGCCCACGGCAGAATGGGGGAAGAAAAAGCGGCTTGGCGAAGATTCCCGGGCAGCGCCCGCGGGAAAAAGCCCGGCCTGCACCGGCCGCCCCTGCCCGACAGCGCGGGTGCCCGGAGGACGACAACCCTCCGGTCCCCCGCCACCCCACCGCCGCAACAGTAGTCCCCACCGACTCCCCGTGGACCGAGACGAGCCGCTCGCAACCCCTCAGCTTCCCACCACGCACCGGAGAAGGCCGCCATCTTCGCTCACTCCTCCGCCGCTCGCTCGGTCGTTCCTTCCCTCCCTCACTGCAGACACGCCGACCTGCGAGGGCGCGCGCTTCCGGTCCGCGCCCTATGGTTTTCCCTCTCTGGGCGAGGACGCAGACCCAGGACAAAGGTTCCGAGAAAGAAAAGACCCGCCGGTCTGCTCATCCAGGGCTGATGGACTTTGGTTTCCCCAATAACCATGTCTGGTTATTATCAGCCACCTTTAGAGTTACGATTGTACCTAGAGGAAGTCGTGTGCTATTGAGATCATCCTTCCTCGATAAAGAAGCCACGATCCTCAAACAAGGAGCTAGGATACCCTGACAGCAAAACTGTGCACTCTGACCTCAATTTCACAAGGATGACAAGGCCAAACGGTTTGGGAATGACTTGGGAAAACACTGAATTCATTGCCCATTTAACCAGGACTTGCGAATGTTGTCACCTATAGGACCTATTAAGTATTTTTATTGAAAAACTAGTGGTGTAGTTTCGTTTACTTACTTCAATCGTGTTTAATGTAGTATTGATAATTTTAGGCTTGACTTCCAAGCTATTTTAAGTTCCCTTTCTTTTCAGAGTGATGGGTCAGTAAAGGAATGATGGCTCCTTCCCATACTATGTGTGTTAGAATCTTTAAATATTCATCCATGATTCTGGAAAAGTTAATAGTTTATGTAATGCCACAGAACTACTGTTAATTTGTATCATGGGATCTATCTCTGGAGACCATTTTGTGCTTTCTGACCCAGAAATCGGGGAGATACATGAAACCTTTAGTCAACGTAGGACTAGAAGCACAGATTTGAGAGCTGGACATCCTGGGTCTGAATTCTAGCCTTACCACTGGCTAGCTTTGTAATCTTAAAAAATCATACAACATCTCGGAGTTCCATTTTATTCATCTGTAAAATAGAGATGAATGCTAACATGAATGGCTATATCATGGTAGATAGCTTGATAGATAAAGTTCAGAGCAGAGAGAGAATAGTGGACTGAACATGAATGGCCAGCAGACTCAACTGGGCCATGAGAGGAGAAAGGCATGGAGATCAAGAGAAGAAGAAGAGAGAGAGGGGCAGAAGAGGGGAACAAGAGAGAGCCGAGGGGACCAAGGGAACCAAGAGAACCAAGAAGACCAAGAAGGCAAAAGAGGACAAGATAATCAAGAGAGGGAGAAGAACCAAGAGAGTGCGTGGCTGAAATGGCAGGTGTTACAGGAATCTGAAGCTAGGGGGAAAAAAGCCCCTGGGATGGAGAGGTTTAGGGTAGGGGACAGGAGTGAGAAGAGGAGGGAGGAGTCACAGGTACTGAGTGAGCCCACAGACTATCATGTCCTTTGTTATATGATAATAGGCACACACTTAGCCATTTGTCCTGGGTGTCTTTTGAACCTGACCCAAAGCTCTTAGAAGAGTAAATAACACATGATAATAATGAATGTGGTGTTCTAATTATCACAAATAAGCGGAACAGAATTCACCTGAATCTCCAAAGGCAATGGAGAATCTATTCAGGCCTGTAGCTTCACACTCCCAGAGGCCACCACTCACATAATTTGTAATCATTATATACTTTGTGGAAATGATACTCCTAAGAATTATGTAATGCAACTTTTGTGAGCATACACCAAATATGACCATGGACCAAAGAGAAGTACCAGGTCGCATATTGGGCCACATGCCAAAGTAGAATCTGAAGCTTGGTATTTGTGCCTTTAGCTAGCACTCACCCTAAAACCATGGAAGTATTAAGAGATGAGGTGATATGGATGAGAAACGTCTCCACCAGTGTGTGTCTTGGAAAATGTGGTCCCGGCTGGTGGCACTGCTTGAGAGATGTTTGTGTGCTACAACGTTGTCAGAGGACAGGCTTTTGAAACTAAAAACCTCATACCGCTTGCAGTTTCCCCTCTGTTTTGTGCTTGCAGTTCAAGATGTTAGCTCTTGACTTCCTGTTCCTGCCGTAATGCCTGCCACCTGCTGCTGTGCCTCCACCCCTCTATCACGGACTCTTAGCTATCTGGAATGACAAGCCAAATATACTCTCTCTTCCTTACATTGTATTTGGTCATGGTGTTTTATCACAGCCATGGACCAGAGGCAAGTGAAGTATTTTTCTTAAAAGGAGCTGTTGATGTCCTGTTGTGTTTTCTCTTTCAAAAAAAAAAGCATTTCCCAGGGTTCCATTCAGAGAACCTTTAATCTCAGGAGTTTGAGTCTTAGAGATGGACAGAAGAGAAGAGAAGGCTTTGGAAGAACACAGTGCATTTTACATAACTGTGGAAGAAACATGACTTTTCCCAGTAAAGGCCAATTGAACACATAAGAAATGAACTTCAAAGGAAAGGCATTTAAAATGAATGGCGCACAGAGGCTGAGTAGTTCATCAGATAAACTCTCGAGGACCCAGACTGTTTCCACACCATCCAGTGGGTGGAGGGACATCACCCGCAAAGAGTCACGCCCTCGGGACTGCAGTAGGAGAAGGGCCAAGATATGCCCTTTGAGGGAAAGAATAAGCCTTTGTTACCAAAGCTGTTATAGTCGGAGCTTGGGTTTTGACATCCCTCACAAGTTAGAATCAGCCACTAGTCCTCTACAAGTCAAGCAATCACACAAGTGACAGTGAAAAGAAGAAAAAAGATATCTGTTCAATATGGACACATTGGGAGGAACAACAAAGTAGTCTGGAGATGTTCCCTTCACAGCCATCCTTGGCATCCTGCCATGAAGTATGGGTTTAAATAGAAGGCACAAACTGTATAGAACTAGGCAAGTCTTGTCAAGGTGTGGTCCTGCCCATCATCACTGTCTCAGCTCCAGTCTTTGGTAGCCTGACGGGCCTTCAGGACTGATTGAAATCTGTTGCCGGGATACAAGTTCTTCCTCTGCAGGCACCAGGGCTTCGTCATTTCTCTCCTTTTCCCAGCGTGAGATTCCAGGGGAGATTGCAAGTTCTCGGGGTGCTTCATTTCACTGGTCTTATTTCCAAAGACAGGGAAACCTGTGTCTCTTCAGAGTGATTTTATTCTATGTGCCTTATGCATGACTGAATCAGGGCTTTGCTAAGAGGAATTTAGATTCTATCTTTACTTATGTGTTAGAAACAGGACTGTGGTGGTTTGAATGAAAATGGCCCCATGGCTCAGGGGGTGGGGGTGGGATCTTTGGGGTTTCAGAGACTCAACCCAGGCCAAATGGCTCACTGTCTTTTCCTGCTGCCTACAGATCCAGATGTAGAACTCTCAACCACCCCTCCAACACTATGCCTACCTTTATACAACCTCTTCCTACCATGACTATTATGAACTAAACCTCTGAACTGTAAACCAACCCCAGTTCAATGTTTCCCTTTATGAGAGGTGCCGTGGTTATGATCTCTCTTCACAGCCATAAAACCCTAAGCCAGAGACTTAATCTGAGAGTGGAGAACAGAGGAGAACAAATGCCCTGTCCCCTGCACTGCAGGCTTGGAATAGGCCAAGCTAGGAGCAGAAAAGCTATGCCTTGTTAATCACTCTTAACCACTGTACCAGACTTCACAGTGTTAGGTCCTAAAGAAACTCAGGACAGTTAGCTGAGGTGACTGTTAACATCCCAAAGCAGACATTGGCAGCCAGGTTTACCCAGCATCCACATACTTGTTACAGAATCCTGGCTTCTCTCAGAACTTCTCACCTCAACCCCCTACCTTTTCATTCCCTGAGCTTCCCTTCCCTTCCACCAGCTTCAGATTCCTATATAACCCAGTCATTTGGCCACACATTGTTGGTTTTTCTCCTCTTCTTGTCCTCCTTCTCTGGGTTCTTCTCCCTCTCTTGGTCCCCTCTCTTGCCCCTGTTTCCCCTCCCCCAGGTCCATGACCTCATCTATTCTCCTAGCCATGCTCATTCTGGACTCTTCCAGATGCCTCTGACTAATCTCTCACTCATATCTACAATAAAACTCTTCTCAAACATACCCAGGAGTGGTCACATCCTCATTTTCTTTCAGATAGATAGCTTAGTTATAGAAATAAAGCTGTGGTTGTGATTATGATTAAAGTAACCAAAACACCAATTAGTTGAAAATGACCAGAAAAGCTTTAGAAGTAGGCCAAGGATTTCATTTAGGTCAGGGAAAGAAATGAACCTCAGAGGGTCAGTGAGATGACCCAGCAGGAAAATCAGCTAGAAGTAGGCAGAGAGAATGGGCTTCATAAGGTTTTCCTCAAACTTCCACATATATACTGTGGCATGCATGCACATATACAATCATACATATTCTAATTTAAGAAAAGAAAGAAAAACACATAGATTATATCTTAGTGTAATTGACATATTTTATATGAGCTCATGTAATATATTGCTCTAGTTATAAATGTGTGAGTGTGTGTGTGTTGCAATGCCTTCAAGAATGCAAATAAAAATTCAGTGTGTATGGTTTCTTTAGCTGGTGGATTTGAGAAAACCAGGTAGAGATGTTCCAGGCAAACAAAGGACTAGAAACCAGAAAAAAAAAACAGTCTTATGAAGAAAATTCTGATTAAATGTGTCTGCAGAAGGAGATTTCTAGAAACTCTTGATCCCACAAATCCAGTTAGCAAAAGACAGGTACCACGGTTGGTTCCAAGTGGCAGGTACACAGGGAAGACATTATCCTGAACTATCCAAGCTCCAAATGTAGTTTTGTCCCCAGCGTTTATTTCTGTGGCCTCATAATAAACTAACGGTTTATGTAATTAATCATGATACAGAATCTTACTATATCATCCATATCAATCAGACCCCATTAGGTATTTGTTGAGTAAGCTATGCTCCACTACAGAACAGATGGTTTTTGCAAAGGCAAGCAAGCCTAAGGAAAATGACATTAAAATACCCAGGATAGTGATTGGACTTTGCAAAGCACCTTAAATTGGCCACCACAAACCATGAAAAATGGTTTTATGTATAAAAGCCTACATCAGTTCATTTATATTGTAATAACAAAATACAACTTCCCAAATGATGAGTTTTTAAAAAATATGTTGGGGCAGCTACGAAAAGAGAAAAAATTAAACGGTTTAACTAATGGAGAAATTTTCCGTTAGTTAA